TTTGAACCAATCCAGAAGACAAGTAAATTCCTTGATACCCCCAGAGGTATGATTTGTTATGGGAAAATGGAGGACTTTGTGACTCAACAGATTTAACATGCATCAGTCATTATTTACTACACAGGGAGTCTCAGGCCGGTGGGGATCGAACCTACGACCTTTTTGAATCTGAACCCAGTGCCCTACCAACCAGGCTATTCCAGTCCGACATGAATGCAGTTGTAGTTCATTTGACGTCGCACTAGAGCTGCACAATGGTCTATTGGCGACGGTCTGGGAAACATCCATGAGAATGATCCGATGACAAGCCATCACAATTTTGATCCTCTGCAGAGGGCCAGACAACCTGCATGCGAAGTCCAGCACTTAACGGTAGAACAGTTTAAGGAGGACCAATACTTTATACCCCGAGTCCCTATACAGACTGATCCAAGTGGCCCCTCACCGCAGCCTGTGAGGCTTGATTTCAGTGATTTACTGGAAACTGTGTCTTAACGATCAGTCCACTGCGGAACTGGCCCAACATGAATAGTTTCTAAAAAATGGAATTTTAGCTATACAAGTTTAAAAAATTTATTTCTCGGAAACTATTCGACCGTTTTCTATCAAATTTTGATACTGCCATATAAAATTACATTCTTAGTAATAGAGATGGTAAATTTCTTTTAATGTGGAAAAAATCATGAAAAAAATGCCTTAGCACCCAATGCAAGAAATTCTCTTTTAAAAAAGAAACATTCAACAAAATGTTAACTCAGTTTAAATGATAGTGATAATTTTCAAGTTATTTAAAAATCATTTAAAACTAAATCAATACTTTTAGAAATTTAATCAAATATAGTTTTTTTCTCTCCCATGTTTTACATTAAAGAGCATAGTAAAATTTTATTGTATTGCTTTTAAATTACACATAGCTCTTACAGTTGGAAATGGCATAATAATTTTCATAATCAAATGCTGTTACGTATCAGTACTCAAAACAATTCATAGATAAAATAGTTTGTTAACGGTATTTACCAATAAAAATTTTTAGATTTTACCAATTTTATGTTTGCATGCAAAGAACTTTAGATTCACTTAAAAAGTTCTTGCGATATAGTGAAATATGTCAAAGGAAAAATTAACAAAAAGGGTTTTCAAACTTTGGATAGCTCTTTTGACCAAACTATCTGGGCCATTTTTCTAATTTTGAGGTTAAGGAATACAAATTCGTCAACAAAAAAAAGTTAAATTTTAATTAGAAAAGTTTTTGTATCTAATTTTGAAACTTACAATATGCTCTGCACTAATTATTTCAATATTTGAGGTCATCCCTATGAACCATTAAATTTGAGTTCTAACAGGGTGGGTAGCCATATCTTTCAACAAAAAATAAGCACCTTTTAAATACTTTTTGAAAAAAAATCTCAGTTTTGAAAAGGGAAAATTAAGCACTTTCTAAAAACACCCAATGAAAAAAGCACCTTTAAGGGCTTTTAAAAAACGAAAATAAGCATCTTTAAGCACTTCTTAAAAATGCTACGCACCATGTCTAATATGTGAAAATCCAATAATTAGGTCATAAGTTATTAATTATTCAGGGTGATTCATTTTTTCTTGTACACTGTACATAAATCGAGTTCAATTGAATTTTAAGGCAAACATACTAGAGAAAGGACTTTTCTTGCAGATAAAACAGTTTTACTGAAAGCTTATACAAAAAAGTAAATGCTCTTCTATTTTTTTGTAGGAAAAATTGAGTTCATTCAGTGTATGTGATAAAGCATTCACACAAAACCTCGTTTAAACACATGTTCTAAATTAATCTCTCACACTATTTAATTTTATTGCTCTTACATTATTTAATTTTATTCAAAGAGAAATATTTTTAAGGCTTTGTACTTTTTTTCCAAATTTTTATTGGTTATAAGAGCAATGTGTTGGCGATTGCTTTTCTCAGTTGTTGCTAACACGAACTTACATTGATTTCTATAACTAATAAGAGCAAATTCAAACTTGACAATATATTTTCAAAAAATATTGATATTTGTGAATATTTTCGTTACCATGATAAAATTCACTCACATTATCATATTCAATAATTATCATTTGTTTAATAATATTCATGTTAACTGTTAGACATGTTTTCATTGATAATGGCAATATTATTGTATTCATTACTTATTAGTAACGACCACGATATTATCAAATTCATTTCGTATTGTTATCATTATTCTAACATTCAATTTTCACTTTTTTTATGGCCATATATGGATATTTTCAGAAAGCAGTGCGCTCACATTTTAATTTGAAACAAGTCTTAAATGAAATCCGCGTAGCAAATTAACTAAATAATTCACCAGGGGTCTGTCTAGGTTTTTCTGAAAGGTACCTATTTTGTAAAAATTTTGACATAATTTGTGAAAAATTAAAAACTATATTAAAAAGTCAACACAAAAACATGGTAAAAATATAGATTTATCGTTTCTTAAGGGATAGAAAAATAAAATTTTAAGAAAAAGTATTTTGTGAAACTACAGTTCTTCCTAAAGTTACATTTGTGAAACTACCGTTTTACCTAAAATTGAATTTGTGAAGGTACCGCTAAACGGTAGTAAATTCGGCCTGGACAGATCCCTGTTCACTGTATGACAAATACAGGGTATTAGCTACAAAATTTAGATTTTCAAAATTTATAACTTTCTATAACTAATTTTAAGAATTTTTTATGACTTAACGAAGTTTCTACGACAATAAATTAAAAAAAGCATTATAATAACATTGATTTAAATGATAGGTACAACCAAAACTGTTATACTCCGCATCTTCATATTTATAGATTTTAAATTTAAAAAACAGAGTAAAGAAAGAGTTAAAGCAATAAAATTACTAAAAAAAACACAAAAGCAAATATTTTTCTTCTGCAGAATTATATCCTAAAGATACTTTTCTTGTTCATCGCAAAGGAAAGAAATACTCCTGGTTTTTCTGTTCTCATTTCGGAATAAAAAAATTCGCCGATGACTGGCTTGCTTCAGCTAGAATTTGAAATTGATAAAAAAAATAAAATAAATACTGAAATATCAGAAGTTTAAAAGATAATTCGCGCTATAAATGATGTTTTTTTTTCTACAATCTATACAAAAACCATTGGTTGGTTCAAATTTTTAGTAAAAGATCAGTTTTTGTGAAAAATCTATTCATAATTTTGTGAAAAGCAAAAATAGGATTTTCTTTTCAGAAATAGAAACACAAACAAAACTCCATCTTTTAAGGAGTTTTTGTCTTAAAATTATGAATTAGAGTAGCTATTAGTAGAGATTTTTTTTGTGAAGGAATCATTCTCAGGATAAACATTTTGCAAAGGGAAGAATAAAATAGAAGAATTAACGAAGGAAAGAATTAGCAGACTCAAATCTCTCCTAAAATGACCCTTGAAGAAGTATTATTAGAATGGTTTAAATTTAAACATTATAAATTTAATATACTATGTATCAGTCAGTCAAAAGTTTTTCACAACTGCATTCATTTAAATTTATATAGAATAAAACACAAGTTATCACATTATCTTAAAAGTTAGTTTGAGTAATATTTGAATATTGACAATGTTTGAATATAAAAATTAGTTTACTATTTGTCATTGTGAAATTCAACCTATGAATAGCAGTAGTAAGCATATTTAGTATGTAATTTGATAACTAAATAGCATTAATTAATAAAATGTGATTATGATATTTTAACAATTCTTTAAATAATTATAAAATTAGGCTTTACAATAATCATTTATATAAAATATTTAAGAAATTCAGTTAGTTCAATTTCTTAAGACATTCTAATATATTCGGGTTCGTAGAAACCTATTTCTTCCGGGGCAGTATCTTCTGATGTGGAAGAAACTTGCCATCCCAGCTTAACTCTTTTTAGGGTCATTTTTTTCATAATAATGTGACATTGAAATATTTTTGGGATTGAGGTTGATTTATAAAAAGTAATTCATTTAGCTTATTACAGGGTGCATATTCAAATCTTTCAACAAAAATAAGCACCTTTTAAGTACTTTTCAAGCACTCAAAAAATATTTGCAATCACTTTAAAAGAAATAACTAGGATTTGTGCGGTAATTAAAAAAAAAAAAAAAATTCTATCGTTTTAAGTTCTTTTAAAGCATAAAATCAATAAAATTCAAAATTGTTTCGAAAACAAATGATAAATAGTGCAGAGAAAATTTTATATTATTTTATAACCGTCGTTGAACAGTAGACCCAATTTTTGGGTTTACAACTGCTAATGTTCAACTCCGCAGCCTTGTAATTTTTAGCCTAATCCAGAAGACAAGGAAAACTGCTGGATCAAGTATTGTGAGAAACTGGCCTTCGTGGAGGACTTTTTGATGGAACTAACCTGCATTTGGGTTACATGTAAAAGACTATGAGAATTGCCCTAGGTTAGCCTGACGGCAAAGGGACTCCAATCCATAATCCGTCTACCACTGATGATATTTTACGTCAACACTGCGGTCTGCTGCTGATTCGAATCGACCAGTCATCGAACAGTAGGGATTGAAACCAGGCTCACCTCATTGGAAGGCTAACCTTCTATCCCCTGAACTATCTCAGCTCTGAAGAGAAAATTAGGAAAATCATTTTTTTGTAAATTATAAAGACAATTTGTCAAAGGAAAAAATATCTTTTTAAAAAATGGAAAATTAAGCACTTATTACAAACCCTGAATAAAAAAAGCACCTTTAAGGGCTTTTAAAAAACGTAAATCAAAAATAAGTACCTTTAAGCACTTTTTAAAAATGCTACGCACCCTGTTTTAAGACCATTTTTGTGTGTGTATGAAGGTGGGTGGGATTTTCAAAAGTCACCCGCTATAAAGAACAAGACATAAACCTTTCTTACCATCCACATTAAAAAAAAATTTATGAAGTTCTTGGAAAGCATACTTCCCAGGTCTTTATAAAGTGTTTAAATACATTTTAATTTCAAAACAGAATAAAATACGAATAATAAAAACCATTGTAGCAATCTAATAAATAATATATTATTTCCGTAAAATATAAAACAAAGTTTTCAATTCCATGAGAATAGTCCATCTTTCCATGTAACAGAAGTGATTGCAGCCACTTCAGTCTTGGCACACATTTGGTTGAGGAAGGTCTCCGGCAGGCCACAGTCGGTCAGATTGTTCTTTGCAAATATACAGGGGAGGATGGGGGAGTGGGGATTGACCTTGGAGAAGGCGGTGGTGTGGGTGTCCGAGGACACGACGGCAGAAAACTCTTCTTGAGTTCCGCTGAAGAGGGAACACAGAGAATGAAGGGTGTTCGGTAGGATGGGACCTGTCACTTCCACCGACTCCATTTCTTTCGACCCACTTTTCACTTTGCCATGACGGATCTGCAAATGAAAATTTTACACAAGTTAAATAAATGTATGTATATGCATAAATTGCAGTCCTCTCTTTTTATTTTAGGTCACATTAATCCTACCATACAATTTATCAATTATTTCAAATCTCGATTTAAATCACCGGATTTTTTAAAAATAATCGTAGAGGCAGTGATTGCTATTATATATATATATATATTATAGTGGTGCTCAAAAGGGCACCCCCAGCTGCCACAAATGCAAAATTGAAAATGAATGGATTTGTTCCTAACGGACACAGCAGCATGGAGAAGAGATCCAAAATTGGCAAATTATCAAAATATAACATAGCCAAAATAAAGTCAACCCCCCATAATAAATATTAGGTTTGAAAATATACATATTTGCAATAAGAAATTAATAATTAAGAGATATAAATAGATTTTTTCCCCGATTAGGCGTGGCAGTGAATTAATGAGTCTACATTAGTATTGAAATAAAAAGTTAGCCGTTACATAGAGTGATAAGAAAAGAATTAAATATTTTATGTTCGCTTTTATAAATATTAACTCAATGATTTAATTTATATATAATTTGATTAATAATGGTTGAAAAAAAGTAAGTTAAGTAAGTTATAAAGATATTTTAAGAGCTAGGAAATATATAATGCCAATTGTGGCATCACAATAATAATCATTAATTTAAATTTCAACTAATATTTTTTATTTCACATAACTTATAAATGTATTCTTAAGAATTTTTTTTAAAAGTCTGATTATGATATTGAAGCTTTTACTCAGAATATACAGGGTAATATATGAATATGTGGGTGAGGCACAACTTTAAAAAGGCAAAATTATAACTTTCGGTTAGATATGTGCAGAATAATTAGCTAATTAATAAACATATTACAATAATACCAATTTAACTTTACATTTACTTAAAGACAAACACTTTTAAAATTCATTATACAAGTAGTTTGTGTAGATAAATATCGAAGAAAGACTTACGCCAAGTCAAGAGCAATTCAATATTTTCTAATATGAAATAATTTATTTTTCATTTGATATCTAACTGACAATTGGGATTTTGAAATTGGGTATTTAGAAATTCATGAAAGTATTAAACTTGAATTGAAAAAAAAAAAAAAAAGATTTCATTTCTCTAGTGATTAGTGCATAATAATTATTTTAAACCATTTTAGTTAGAATAATTAAGAACTTAATTATAATATCCTTTTTTAATAGTATTTAACATTATTAATTCAGTTTATCAGAATTTTGACTGATATTTGTAAAGAAAAATCATTAACCCTGCTACCATAGTTTCTTTTTTACTGGATGGTTGTATGCATTTTTCAAGTTTTGACAAGAATAAAACATACGGGTCCAAATTTCACATGTAACTTAGTCATTTAAGTGGTCTCAAAATAAATACTATAGTTAAATTATAATGAAATGTTCCAAATCTATATGAAATTTTTTTTGTATGGACATATCATTTTACACTTGATATCATTTTTTTTATCAGTAAAGTAAATTGAAATTCTAATATCAATTACTATTTTCAGATGCAATTTCAGAAACAGAAAATAAAAAATATTATAAAAATAATTTAACGTAAAATACGTTTCTATATTTTATTAAGATGTTATTCTTTTGAATTATTTATAAAAATTTATCATAGACCACAAAAATTTATTACACAAATACATCACAATAATTAAGTTTTTTTTTAAAAAAGAAACAAAAATTATATAAGATTTTTTCCCCTTTCCAGCCATTTGTTCTGAGATTATACAAAGTGGATTTCATAAGTCATTTTTAAACCTGGGTTCTTTCGGAGAAACTCAAACCCACTTGGATTTTTTGTAAAAAGACGGGGGAAATTGGGTTTTTTCATTTAGTGCTCATTAACATTAAAGCTTTACTGTGTAAATATTTTTATTTATTAAATAGAGTTGTATAAGCTTAAAAATAGAAATAAATCCAAAAAGTTCATATAAAATACATATTTGAATCTTCTTTATTGTTAAATACATAACATTTTACAATTTTTAACTCAAGCATTATAAAATATGAATGCAACAGTGAAAAAAAAGTTTATTAATCTTTTTGTTTTCACACACAGTTATTTACTATATTTATAAAACATATAAAAATTACCCATTANTATATATATATTACCTATTACAAATTTATCAGTAAAAAAATAAAATTTCATCTGACGTTTAACTTTAATAAAAAACTGAAATAAATACTTAATGGTCTTCCATATTTTTATTTTGTTTCTTTTCAATTTCTCTAAACATATAAATTAATAATAATAATCTGTTTAGTAATATATAAATCATACAACTACATTTGAAAAATTTATCATTCAGACTATATTATTAAAATTTCGATTTGATTTAATTTTATTAAAATATTACTTTTTGAAAAAACTCGGTTAAAGTTTTAAATTAGTAATATAAAATCATAAATTCGAGTTTCTTTTACTTTACAAATATTAAAAACTTTATTGTGTAAAGCATGCAACTCTATTTGACAAATTTATGCAGCACAATAAATTAGATATAAATTAAGTGTGCGTCAATAAGTTTTAATAAAAACATTTTTTTAAAAAAAACCTACCCAATAATACCAGGGCAGGTTTTTTAAAAGTGGGCCCACTTGGCGAACACTGCTTTTAAATGAATAAAGTTTGAAAGGGTTTCGAAGTTTGCAGCACTGGTAGGAGATTCAACTTTATTGTGTAACAATATAATAATATGCCACCAAAAAAAAAAAGAAATGACTAAGGAATGGGTAAAAACTACCTTCAAAGACTGCAAAGTCCCACCAAGAAATGCTGTAGGTGCCAATAAAGTAGGAGGAATACCGGCCATTGGTCCAATCTTAGAAATGCACAGCCCAGAATTCAATAAGAAATTTACAAGAGCTTGCGTTTCAGAGTCTTCCACATACACTAAAGATTCAGGCTTGTGATCCAGTTTATCCCTTTCATCACGCCTGAAAAAAATTACATGAATAAAATTAAATTTCAAATTACGCTGTAAAAGCTCCTGGATTGAACAACCCAGGGGTCTGTCTAGGTTTTTCTGAGAGGGACTTATTTTGTGAAAATTAAAAATGATATTAAAAAATCAACGCAAAAATATGGATTTATCGTTTCTTACGGGATACAAATATAAAATTTTAAGAAAAAGTATTTCACGAAGCTACCGTTTGTCTTAAAGTTGAATTTGTGAAGGTACAGCTAAACGGTAATTAATTTGCCCAAGACAGACCCGAGCGAAAACAGTCCTGAAGTTAATCCTCAATGATTAATTAGAATCCCCTTGCTATTGGTTTCATAGTTTTTCTATGAAAAATTTCTCACAATTGTTGCTTATCCCAATATCCTTGTCTTCTGGGTTGTGTTCAAAATTATAAGACTACAGAGTTGAACATTAATAGCCATAAACTAGAGTTGGCAAGGTTTAGGGCAGAACCCACGGTTTGAACCGTCCTGTCTAAAACCCTTTTATTTAAATTATGTCACAATTTAAAACAAAAATATTGTGAAAAATAAAATATTAATTCTTGAACAAGAGAAATGAAGAAAGGTTTTTGCTTTATTAAAAACGTTAATTATTATTTTAAATATCGCTTTATTCATCCTTATGCAAAAATATAATTTATCAGTATTAAAGCATATTCAGGGTTCCTACACTATTTTGAGAAAACAATATGCTGACTTTCGCAGTTTTCCTGACCTTTTACAATAAAATTCCTGACCCGCCGTTTCCCACTCCAAAACTTTTAACATTGCAGTTTCAATTAGTAATAATATGCTACTTAGTCATAAGTATTATAGATTGAATAGGATAAACACTTATATATTAAAGTGGAATTGCATAATAGCACTTTATATCCCAAATTATATTTTCAGAAAACTTGTGAAACATATTTTTAATTATCATGATTAGATTAAACTTTTAGTGTGTTTTTGCAGTTAGATACGAAAACTATTTAAATAAAAAGATCAAAAAAATCTGTAGAACTATGGAAATATTATTTTATTTAATGTTAAGTGGAAACAAATGCATGAGTGTCGTCAGGATATAAAGGGTTAATCAAATCTGCGAGATATGTATCAGTATCCTTAAATAATATTTACTCTTAAAACATACTAGAACATTTGTTACATTAAAACATTAATTTTTAAAAATCACAATTTCACTTAAAACTGACTTTTCTTTTAAAAGATAATATTGAAATATAAAAGGGAAAAAAGTCAAGAAAAGTTAATTATATATAAATAAAAATTCAGATAGAAAAATTATGCAACTTGTGAGAAAAATAAAATCAAAAATATCTTTTTTTTCCCAGTATTTTTAAAATTATTTCTGTAATACTGTAAGCTTCCGGAGAAACTCAGGAGCTCCTATGTTATATAATATTTCTCAACATATTTTGTTGTTTGACAATTTCTGAATCAAGAACATCCAGCTCTGTTGCAGCAGTTTTCGTCAATTTAGATTTTCTTAATTTCAAATCATCTATCCTTTCTTTTATTCGTTTTCTAGAAATTTCAGCTTTTTTATTCCTTCTTTTTTTTTTTGGCTTCTAATGCATGTCTCTATCTTGTTCTAGATCCTTTTACAGCATCTAGCATTTTTTCATTAATGTCTATGTTTTTTATTCCATTCATAAATGAAACATAATCATAACACACACCTTTATGAAATAATAGTCTTCATTGAGGTTTTCAACCAATAAGCTTTTATTGATTGAAAACCCCCTTCGACTGTTGCGTTACCATGAGAGAGGATAAGAAAATGTTTTATAACCTCTCCCAAATTTTCACATTTTTTTCTCCGTGCAAATATTTCGAAAAAATTTATCTAATCTCTTTTGCTGTGGATTAAACTCACTCTTTTGTTCTTCGTTTTTTTGGCAGCATCACAAAACAGTAAAAATTCCTTTTTTGATTTTTCTGCTGTTGTTTCAGCTACAAAGCAGACTCTAAACCAGTTATTCACCCAAAGAGCAATAAACCTAGCAACCCTATCAAAAATTCCTTATCATTGGGTAAACAGGAGGAAAATTGCTAACAGGACAGGTTCTACCAGGGAAAGAGGAATGTTATTATGAGGAAATTACATATTTTGAATGACAGAACTTTTCCTTGAAACTTTATTTTTGCCTGTCAGTCTTGGAATGAACTATAGTTTTTTTTATTTTCCTAACTTTATGAATATGTAAAAAAAATCCTGACTTTATAAATATGTAAGAAAAATCCTGACTTTTTAGCTTAATTTTAGAATAGCCTGACTTTTGCAGGTTTTCCTGACCGTGTAGGAACCCTGATATTTATTGGTATATAAAGGATAATGTATTAAGTTTAGTTGCTCATTGAATTGTGGAGCTTCAAAAGTTATAAATCTTTTCCTATTACATTATATTATTTTCATTTAATAAGTTAAAGCAAATTGTATAAAAAGTATCCAATATTTATTAATAAATGTATTTATTATGTGTACAATGATTACGCATATAGAATTTTTATCTTTCACCAACGTTCAAGGTTTTGGACACATTCAAACAGTTTAAAAAAGTAAAACCCACGTGTCCTATCCAAAACAAGTTCAAGAAGTCCAGAACCCCAACTCTGCCATAAACTCAAAAAATGGATAGGCCATTCAATGCCGGTCATAAAATAAAATTATTCTATAAATATTTCAGTGCTTTACAGAAGTAGAAGAAGATTCAGCCACTGGTCTAAAATATCAATGACTAATAAATCTTAATAGTTCATTCACAAGTCCCTAAAGAGGCACAAGTGTAATTTATAATTAGATTTTTTTTCTATAAAGTAAAATACTTAAAAATGTATAAAAAAATTAAGATGAAGAAAGTGTAGAATATTTAGATTTTTGTCAACTTATTAAAAAATTGAAAGAAAGCTCTGTAATGCAAATCTAAAATTTAATGATTATGTTTTAAAAAATACATTAAATTCAAATGAAGATAAAGCAAAACAATTTAAATTTATGTGCCTTTATTTACATTGTTTTGCTTAATAAATGCATGCTAGGGTACTCAGAAGCAGCTATTATAAATGACATAAAAATTAACTCAAATTTAGATAATTAAAAAAAGAAAAGCACCTTTTGCTTTTATTAAAAGAAGGAAAGTTTTCTTGACTCAACCCCAAACTTTCTAGCCATGTATCAGTTTCATCATCTTCAATGGGATCAATATCATCTTCATTATCTGACCTAGAAAGAATATAAGACCATAAAACTGAGTTTGAGAGAAAAATTAGCATGATCGCAAACATATAAGCTTTGGGCTTCAGCATTACTATAACTGAAAAATTCAAAATAAAACAAAAATATTACAGAATAGGGGGTGCAGAATCTTTTTAAGAAGAAAAGTCCCAGAAAAGAAAGCCCACAATAAATTTAATTTTTACATCAATAAATATAGCAGAAAATTTTTTAAAAACTAAATTTTGAAATGCAAGGCCTTTTGTTCTACAGAATTTTGTGTAATAAGATCATTTGAGACATATACAGTAAAATCTCGCTACAATATTTTTAAACAAAATAAATATATTGTTATATCGAGGGCTTACACATTTTGGGGACACAATAAGATTTTTTTTTAAATTTTAATTTGCAGAGTATTAATTATGGTTAAATATGAAATCAGACAGGTAAATATAAAATCAGTAACCTCTTTAGAGATAAGGGAGGCAATTCTAATAGAAGGTCTAGGGATGGTCTAGGTATGTTAGGATGGGGCATTGAAATCTGAATACAAAAGCCATTCACTGTGTAAAAAAAAAAAAAAAAAAAAAAAAAAAAAAAAAAAAAAAAAAAAAAAAGAAAAAGAAAAAAAAAAGGCAAAATATTATAAAATAAAATTTTTTACATTATTTGAAAACCAATAATATATGGGAAAAATAAGGATGAAAGTTGAAAAAAAAAATCGTTTTACAGGGGTTTATTATGTCAGAGAACATCCCAATATTGAGAGGAGCTTGACATTAATACATACAGGGTATCTGGTACATTTCAAATTTTCAAATTCATGACCTTTCATGATTATTTCCAATAATTTTTCATGACTTAACGAAGTTCCTATTTTCTCCGACAAAAACACAACAATAAATTTAAGAAAGCATTATAATAACATTCGCTGAAATGATAGGTATAGCCAAAACTGTTATACTCTGCATTTCAGATTTATAGATTTTAAAAACAGAGTAAAGAAAGAGTTAAAGCAATAAAATAGCTGAAAAAAACAAACAAAAGCAAACAATTTCCCCCCTTTTTTTCTGCAGAATTACGTTCTAAAGATACTTTTCTTGTACATCGGAAAGGAAAGAAATACTCCTGATTTTTCTGTTCTCATTTCGAAATAAAAAAATTCGCCAATGCAAATTTTAAATTGATAAAATAAAAATAAATAAATAAGAACAAAAATTCTGAAATCACAGAAGTTTAAAAGATAATTCGCTCTAGAAATGATGGTTTTTTTTTCCATTTTTTGAAAGAATACCGTAATTTTTAAAGAACACGATAAAAAACATTTTATATTTTAATCAAATATGACTGAGAGTGGGGATTTTGTTACAAATTCAGATATTCGGAACTCTATGAAATTGGGGGAAGAGAGGTAAATTCCATTTTGAAAATTATATTTTTTGGCGACATTAATCCATGACTTTTCATGATTTTCTTAAAAAAATAGTTAAACTCATGACATTTCATGACAAATTCTGTTCAACACCGAAATTCATTTCTTTCCATGATTTTTCATGACTTTCCAGGTGCGCGGATACCCTGTACACATGCAAGTTCGTCGAGACCAAGATTCATTATTGTAATAGAGGGCGTTATTGTTGTATCGGATTTTGCAGTAGCGAGAGTTCACGGTATATGCTTATCTTCTAAACATGACAATATTAGTCTGGAATAGATCTATCTTAAAATATTTCCAAATATATTTTGATAAAATTATTTTGCAAAAATATGCGCTTAAGTATTTATTATGTACAGAAAAAAAATCTAGAGCATTACAACTAATGGCAAAGAAATCTACCAGTTTTGATTTTCTTAGAATTTGAAATTGTAACCTCTTAGTATATAATTAAACAAATAACATCAAATACTGATAGTTCTTGCTTAGTTACAGAAAATTTCTTAAGTATCATTTCCATCATTTACACCCGCAGTTAATGTGATTTATGGACAATTGCAGTTTAAAGAACTGTGTTAAACAGATCTTTCACTATAAAAGCTTCTTTATTCCTTAGAGTTATAAGAATGTAAAACTTTCTTCAATTTAATAAAGCAAAGTACAGTAAATTACATAAAATAATAATGAAATGTACATAACCTATAAAATAAAACCAATTCCGTGTTTTGCACACTTTGTCTTCATTAAAAAAATTTAATTGTAACCTTTCTCTGAGGAAAAATTAATTTCATTTTCTTTTACAAAATATAGATTACTTACTTTTTAAAATGTACCTTTGAGAACACATTTATTTTAAACATGCTTTAGTTAAATAAATAATTAAAAAACTTAAAACTTTTGACAACTTGAACTAATATCTAGACATTTTGGAATTTCAATGTTTTTCAAAATTTATGGAAATTAGTTTGATTACTTAGTTTTATAATATTTAAAATAAACATTTGAGTACACATTTAAACATGCTTTGGTTAAATAAATAATTAAAAAAAATTAAATCTTTTGACAATTTGAACTAATATTTATACATTTTGGAATTACAATGTTTTTAAAAATTTATGGAAATTAGTTTGAAAAACAGTTATAAAAAATTTTTCAAGCTAGAAGAGGGGTTTTCCAATTACGCACAGAGTGTCAGTACAATGACCTATTAAGGAACAAATTCGACTCCCAGGCATTTAAAAAAAAAAAAGCATAAACATTCAAATTTTTAAGTAAAATGCAATCATACCCTTCTCCTTTTACGTCTAGAAAGTTAGAAGTTGTCATGCTGTCACTATTAAGTTCCTCAAAACCAGATTCTGAATCCTTAGAGCATTCCTTATTGGGGCAGAAAGGCATTGAAAATGTAATTCCTAAGAATAAGAACAATTGAATGAATATTTTTCCAATATAAATTACTCATTATTTATCATTTTTTAAACAGGCCATCCTTTTTAAAAAATTATTTTTTCTCTTATTTATTTCACATTTCACAAGACCATTAACAAAAAGATTTCATTAGTCCATACCTATTTTCACTGATCTATTGACATTTCCTGATTTTTAAAGAATTGCTTTAAAATTTATGAAACAATTGAAATTAAATAACAATTGAATGAATATTTTTCCAATATAAATTACTCATTATTTACCATTTTTTAAACAGGCCATCCTTTTTAAATATTTTTTCTCTGATTTATTTCACATTCTACAAGACCAGTAACAAAAAGATTTCATTAGTCCATACCCATTTTCACTGATCTATTATTGACATTTCACTTCCTGGTTTTTAAAGAATTGCTTTAAAATTTATGAAACAATTGAAATTAAAATTTTTACTAATACACATAAAAATTAGAATGGTTTATCAGAAGAGTTTTCAAAACAATTCATATTTTATGGACAGTTTCATGTACGCATCAGAGGGATAGAGGGTTTGCCTTCCAACGAGGTGACTGGAGTTTGAATTCCAGCAATATCTGGTCTACATAGTAATTCTGAATCCATCTCGACAACTGTTGTAAAATATTTTCAGCGGTAGACGAATCCACTAGCTGCCAGACTAACTGCAGAATTGTTTTTGTGCAACTGTGTCTCTTTACATATATTTAACTGTTCACTTCTTTTTGGGACATCCTCTATTTTTATAAAGACATTTCTACAAGCTAAACTTATTTTTTTAAAAAGGAAAAAAAAAAAAAAAAATCTCACCATCCTCAGAAAGAGCTTTCCTGAAACCCTTTGAAGTGGGTGTTATAAAAGCATGCAGGACAGGGATGGAACCTGCACCTGCGCATCTGAACAGGACAGTAAAGCTAGAGGCACACATATAAAAATAAGGACACTGGTACAATCTAACAAGTTGATAAAGTGAACGAAAACTGTCACACCTGAGAAAAGATAAATACATGCTATTATTACTTATAGAGAAAGAACCTTGATACAAGCAGATAGCAAGAAAATAAAAAAAATAGTTTAGATTGCATACAGTTTACCAATACATTGATTTTGTCACATGACCCAGGGGAGGAGCTAAATCTTTCAACAAAAAATAAGCACCTTTTAAGTACTTTTAAAGCATTTTTATTTCTTAAGCACTATTTTTAAGCACTATATACAATAACAAAATGCAAAATAATTTTCAAAAATTGTACATGATAAAATAACTAGTTTCTGGCAAAGATCTCTTTTCTTGATTATGCAAGTCAAAATAAAGAAATCGAAAGATTTTTTGGTTCAATTACAGAAGGTGGAAAATGAAGCCTGAAATGGAGAATATCTTGAAAATTGCAGCAGAGTTCCCCATGAGAGTGCTAGAATGTCACCGAACCCAGCTCAGTAGACGCACATGCAGACTCGCAAGTATTTCATCAAACATGTAAAGTAATTGGCGCTTTCATATGCTAACGACAGACAGTACACCGAAATGAATTGTGAAAACGTTGAATAGAATAACGAGAAAAGCACATTTTTACATAATACAAGGCAAAAATCAGCATTCCCTTTTCGAAAAAGCACTTAACACCCAATGAAAGAAGCACTTTTAAGGGATTTTAAAAAACTAAAATTAAAAATAACCACCCTTAAGCACTTTTTAAAAAAGCAAAGCATCATGTATTATCATTATTAAAAAAATCCAAAACTTTTGATTTTTCAAGAAGATTATTTTAAATACACACTCAATCAGTATTCAATATCTTTAAAAAATCTTACCAACTAGAATGAAGCTTTTCTTCAGCAGAGGAATCTAAGATGATGCTGGAACTGAAAAGGGCAGAGGTTTTCATCAATAAACTCGTATTACCACATGGAGGAAAGTTTTGATCATTAAATAAGATTTCTTAACTTACCTTTTACTTTTGGTGAAAGAATTGGCACTCCTGGGATAAAGATTTAGCCAAGGAATGTTTGGATGCATCCACACAAGGCACTGCTGGAAGAACTTTGCCCCATGGCTGCTGTGTAAACCTGAAGACTGAAATAGAGAGTGGAATAGAATCAAGCGCTCACTCATCAAAAATTATACAAAATTCAATCAAAGAGATTTGTTGATCAAAAAATAATTTTGAGCATACTCAGGGTTGGCATGATTTAAATCAATTAATTAAAAAAAAATCAACTGATTTTTTTAACAAAAAATAAGCATTTTTTAGCTCTCAAAATATTTTTAAACACTCTCCAAGAAAAAAAGCATCACAATTAGGTAGTAACTGAGCAGTAATGAAAATTATTTTTTTCTATCATTTAAAGTTCATCATTTACAAACATAAAATCAATAAAATTCTAAAACATTTTTAAAGGCTTTACATAATCATGCTAAAATAACTAGTTTCAGATAAATATTGCAGAGAAAATTGTGAAAATCGTATATTTTTTTAATATGTAGAACGACAATCGATACGGGAAAGAAAAAATTTAGTTTTTAAAAGATAGAAAACTAAGCTCTTTTCACAAACCCCGAATAAAAAAACCACCTTTAAGAAACGTAAATCAAAAATATGCACCTTTAAGAACTTTTTAAAAATGCTACGCACCCTGTAAATATATTTACACGCAATATGAAAAATAAAAATAAATACATTCTTTAAGATGCAATATCTTTTATATTAATGTTCAATTTTATTGAGAATGAACGTCTTTTTTTACAAAGAAATAATGAAAAGGGAATGCATGTTAATTATTTTTAATCAAAATAGACCAAAATAAATAAAAAGATTAAAAGTGGATGAGAGTGGCATGAAACTTTTAAATTATAATTGTTGCAAAATAATTTGCAGGGAATAATCATATTTCAATTATATCCATTCATTTTTATGTTTATTAACATAGAGGAGTGCTTTAAAAACATAATAAATGCTTAGTTGGTTTAGATTAATTATCAAGAAAAACTTGTTTTATTAAAAGAAACTTAAAGAAACTAATTTTTTTTCCAATTATGTTGACTGATCTAAGTAAATTAGCTCTTTATTGGATATCAAAGAGGCAAATTGATTTTCTGCCTTTAAAACTCATTAGAATCTTGAATTTGAACAAAATTAATTTTATTTATTCAGTAATTGGCTTGTAATAATAAAATAAGAATTTTAATCATTTTAACCCCATTTCGACCAAAGGTGTACAAATGCACCATTTCAATAAATATTTTTTTATTAACACTGTGACGCATATTTTCCAGCTGCTGTCAAGGGTTCTTAAGGCACCCAAAAACTAATAGTAATTCAATCAGAGTAAACACTGTCTAGAAATTTTTAAACTAAAGTTTTTATTAAAACTTAAAACAGTTATTGAGAAATAAAATTTTTTGAAAAATGTATAATTATTCCTTTTGAGATTTATCATTATGTTTTTATGATGGATTAAAGTTGAAAGTCAGTAAATAAAACAAATTTCATGAAAAAAAACAAGCATTCAACTAAATGGTGCCTATATGCCTCACTTTATTTCTTAAATAAAATAAAAAAATGTATACAGGAAACTTTTTGTGTCTTAATTAATATAATGTAAGTATATTTCAATACCACATTTTATAAAATTTATATGCTTGGCCTAAAATGTGTTAATGAGAAAGTTTTGGCATAATATTTTAACCCCTTCCTTCTCGCTCCCGTGAAAATGACGGGTTGAGATTTCGTTTGTTATTTCTCGCTTCCGTGATATTGACGGGCTGGAAACTAATTCATTTTTCTTGCGCGGAAAATTTTTTATTTCTCATTTTACACACTAGATAGAGGTACCAGGATATTTTTAAGGTAATTATAGATAGTTAGTTTATTTTATACCAGATGTCAGCACTAAAGTTAGCTAATCAGCACTAATCAAATACGTGTATTTATGATATGTTATTTGTAATCTTAGCAAAGTTACCTAGTTAGGCTCTCTGTGAATACACCTGGTTTGAGCTCAAGATAAAATTTATTTTTTAACCGCTTCTTTCTCGCTCCCGTGATATTGACGGGCTGGAAACCAATTAAATTTTTTTTTTTTTGCCTGGAAAAATTTTATTTCTCATTTTACACACCAGATAGCAGCACCAGGATATTTTTAAAACACATATTTTTAAAATTTTCCTTGCTTGCTGGAAAACCAACATTAAACACTGAATGTTGGCTTTTCCTAAAAATTAAATTTTTTAAATTTTCAAGCTAAAATCAAATCAAAAACTAAAAATGAATATATATATATATATATATATATATATATATATATA